GTCTTACACACCCGTGTAGTACTTACGTTACGACGCGACGGTATCTATAATTAATTATAATACATATAGGTATACCGTATAGCTTCAATATCCATTACGAAAATGAAACTTCGAACAGACATGGGTACCATTTTGAATAAAAATGAAGTATAATGATAATTCGTAATCACGGTAATCCGTGACCTGCTCAATGACGAGGTTTATTCGAAACCTACAAAACAGTAGAGTAAATTCTCCGATTTTCTTTCTCTCTCGGAATCTTGTTCAAATATTATGTTTTTTAGATTCATGCGTACACAACAGCGGGAAAAATAAGAAATAGGGGGGATTTAATTGGTAACCTCCCCACTTTTCCTCGTATATCTTTTTATATTAATCTTATAGTAATAACTAACATAATATGCTGGTGTCAACTTAAAAGACACGTACAGTATAGAGGCACGTGAGTTTTTGTAAGAAAACGAAATATTTAAGTTAAAATACATGTCAGTTTAATGAATTTTTGATGGTTTGAATTGACTAAAATATAATGTACCTAATGTATTGTTATAATAATTATTCGACAAAAACTGTTAGAAAACGAGAGTTTACGCGTTAACTGCCATGTGTACATTATTTTGTACACGGGAAAATTGTCGTTCATGTATAGGCATATTTTTGTATGTTTGCATGTCTAAAATTAATCAAAATTAAAAGTAGATTACAATAGTAACAAGTACTGCTACGTGTTCGCTAAAAATATAGAAATGGTCTTAAGGGCCACGAGATTCATATTCCTATCGAAAATCAACAGTATTGTGTCAGGATTTTGTACACGTAGATGGTGATTTTAATAACGTCAATGTACATAATAATGTACACGAAAGCAAGTTTGGCAATTTATTGCGTGTACACAAAAATATACACATGTCCTTCCGGTTAATGTATGAAAAAAGTAGGTGGCAGTTAACGTGTTAAGCAACGTCCAGCAAATAAATAAAATTTACAATTCATATTAAACAGAAGATGAGATGATTTTTATTTATATAGCACAAGATACGTAGGCAATTAATAGTTAATATCATTTGAATTTTGTTGAAAAAAAAATGTTTTGCGTTTTTATAAGAACCTAAACAATAATATAGTGCAAGTATATACTTCCATAAATCTAATGAACAATTTTATTTTCATTGAGGATAAGCGGTTTATACCTTCGTATGAAACTATCATTATCTTCATACTGTTTGATCATACCTTTTTTTTCGGTTGCATACGTACAAATAATCATATTTTAACATTATTTTCTACAATCTAATCAACTAACAGAATTTCAATAAAAAATTAAATATTTTTCACATTTTTTAAAATGTAAACACTATTTTCCTCTTTAGTTTTCACAATAATACCTGTGTAGGTCATCAAGCTATCCACATAAATTCCAATAATAATAATCCTTACTTTTAATTATTAGTAAACTTTAAAGAGTCTTACAATAATACACCACAACTAACATACAATTATTTTTTCCAATTTTCAACACCAACAATTTACTAAATTAACTAATAATGACTAATGAGGCTCTTATGTTTGATATCAATGCTAATTCTCATTTCATATTTCTGTAAAGTATTATACTATTTTATTGTCTATATAATTTTATGTTGAAAATGATTAATTTAAAAATATATAGTTATAAAAATAAAAAATAAAAAGTTTTACCCATTAAATACAATAAATAAATAATAATAATTGATTTACGATATTCTGAATAATTTTTTGTTAGCATTGTGTAGATATAAAGTGGGTCTTTCTTTGCCGTGTGTCTTTTTTGCACTTAGATATTTTTAACTTCTCGTAAATAAATGAATTCAGTAATGGGATATATTTAAATAACGGATTCAGTTTATACTTAAAAAAAAAAATATTTTAACTTCATACATTTTGTAGTTGAATACAAAATAACTATTTACGAGTGCAATGTTATTTATGATATTATACATGCCATGTTGACATGAATACATGTGGTGCATTTTGTATTTATATGCATAATATTTTAAAGAGTTAGCGAAAATGTACACAGATACACAGGTATAAGAGGCCTCCAAATAAGTTTTTTCCTGGCACCCATTCCTACCACTCGGGCTCTGGTTGATCATATTAATACATACTATAATATAGGTATGTATACTCGTATATACGAGTATCTATCGACATCTGTGATTTTCTAAAATATTTTCTTAATATCTTATCTACGGCATACACCTTTGCAATGTTATACTTAGATCAGGTTTTATGTATGTATAGTATAGTCTCTGACAGTCTGACCCATATGTTATTTATAAATAACCATGTAAATACACTGCCGCACGCGACTGGCCGACTGGATGGATAACGATATTTATGTAGTGTATTATATTATATTTAATGATTATAACGATTATATTTTATTTCATTGCCTGCAGCAGAAGACTGATCAATACTATATTTTTTGTTCATTTTCTCTATCTTACGTTGTGGTGGCAATGATGACGATGATGATGATGATGATGATGAAGACCACTATTTTTAGTGAAAACCCGCCAGAACAACAGCAACACGTATAAATTATTATTATTATTACTGTGTGGCTATATAGGTTTATAATTTTACAGTATTATAATCTACACGATAAGAAAGTTAGTAGAACTATAATATTAATCGAGGTGCAAGGATTATAGAAATATAAGCATTACCCAAGTGGTTAAGATGTTTAGTATATATATCGACACAAACGCATACCTATAGACGACGTTTTCTCTCTTTGGCCTCTTCGGTGACGCTGTTAAAATAAAATTATTATTCGAGTGTTCTAAAAAAATGTATGGTATAGTTATGCATGTACATATTTAAGACGGGAAAGATGATTTCCGTCGTTAAGCTCTTGGAACAAGTGTGGCAATTTTCACGGATCGCCAACGCTTTTGTCAACGTATATACACATATAAACGCACATTAGTGTATTTACCACATTCGGATAATATGTCGTTTACCACGAGTATCATTAAAATTTATTTATAATATTATTTTGTAGTGAGATGTTTGCATATGATATATGTGATAAACGTGTACGCACGAAAAAAAAGTCAAATAGTAGGTTAGTGTATACATATAAAGGCATATAAATCTAACTTATTTAATATGCTTAATATGTACAATACATATTTATTGTTGTTATTGTAACATAAGTTGTGATATTGTGGTATTATTATGATTTAAAGCCGTGTATTTGAAATTATTTATGTGCATATCTCAGTTAGTACTAGTATCGTTTTCTCTTCGGTCTAACGAAATTTCAAACGTATCTCATATTTTCATTTATATCAATGTAGAAATCAAAATTCATTTGAGAAATTGTATACTATTCACCTATAAATGGCTTTAATAATTATCTTTTCGATCCGGCATGTGATATATTTAATATATTTTAAATAGAAGTACTTTAGATTATTTCGATTGCTGTGTATAATAGAAGATTTTTGTCACTATATTACCTATATGGCTATACAATTTTCGAGAGTTACAATCAAAGAACAATATTACTTCGTTTTCTTAAATGTGAAAACTTAGAGAAATTCTTTATTGTCAATATTTCCATAATATCTTTATTAAATATTTATAAAATAACTACAATATTAAATATGTTTTTTTATTATTATTCTATATGTGTTCTTAGAAAAACCAAGAATAAAACAAGGAATAATATTGTACTCTCTCCGTCTTCATAAACATTACTTTAGTTTGTTGGCACAGTAAAAACGAAAGAATATTAAATTACCTTATGCTATTACAATAATATACTAGAATATACCTTGGTGTTTTCTGTGGATAGTATAATATAAATACCTACGTTTCTTTATCACATAAGTAATGGTGACAAATGATAATCTAACATAATAATATAATATATAATATATACAACTAGTAATAATATTGGCCATAATTGTAGCGATAAATATAGTATAGTCCATCATCATATTATACCTGTAAAGCGTAGACTATAATAAATTAATAAATCCGCAAGCAATATGGATCTGCATACTCAACATTTTTCGGTATATACTTTAAAATATGTCATATATATGAAAAAATTGTATATTTGTTCATCCGATTATAGTTCAATCATAATATCAATGATCTAGTCTTATAGAGACAGGATTTCGATACCTAAAACTTGTCTTAAGAGAGTTTTTTAAGCAAATCTATACATATTATAAGTTATAACATTTCTCAAAACAAGTTAATCTACCGGTGTTTTATTATTTTCACGGTTGTTAATGATATTTATTAATAAGCAATGTTGAGTGTAACGAATTATATTTTTATATTAATATAAATAAATATATTTGCATTAAATTCAATATACCATGGATAATAAACATTATATATATAAACAGTATACCATCATTACAACACTATGCCTACGACTAGTTAAATATTAAACACAGAAGAATAGAATACCGGAAAAACTATGACCATCACTGAAAATTTAATAGATATCATCTGTCAAGTGATGATAATAATATTTATCTAAAATGGTTATTTGAAACATTGGCTAACTTAGTCATTTAGACCACAGTGTAAACATTTATTTTAAATATTAATAATTATTTATACTTATACAACACTATTTGATTATTTGAACACTAAATTGGTCAAGATTATCTGCTATCTATTATTTACTACTTATTGTAACAAAAATAAATTACATTTTTCAACTCTCAATTTTTAATACCATATGCATATAAGCATATTCTTATATTGTTCTATTTTGTAATTTCGTACAGCTAAAAAATAAATTTTATTTTTTAAATGTGTACAACAAAAATCTTAATTTTTATGTATTTGATTATTTTTTATCAAATTTTACTGCTATTTATAAACTTAATTTAGATTAAGTTGCTTATCTATTTACTTTAATATACTAATAACTAGGTACTTAATATGTTGGGTGTTCAATGAAAATAATTTTTATTTATTAGTTATTATTTATTCGTTACTTTCAATTGAGACTTGACTAAAACCGAAAAAATTGAATAACATAAATTGATCACCTGAAAAAATAGATATTATTATTCATTATAAAATAAATATTAATAAATAAAAGTATATAACTAGAGTCTAGTGACAATATAAATTTATAAATTTCACATTGTTTTCGATGTACCAAGCATTACTAAAAATAAAGGATAAAATACAAAAATGTTGGTATAATTATAGCAAAATTATGCAAACAATAAAATATAATGTATAAAATAATTAAAAATTGCATGTAGGTACTAAAGAAATGATTGAACTAGATGATTTTGAAAATTATTAATAAAAATATGACAAATAATAAAAATCGTAAAAATTTTAAAATGTTATCGAATGTTAAAATTATAAAAATTGCACAAATAGATAATTAATCATAAAAAATCATTATTTTTTAAACATTTTTTTTCAGTATCTATTATTTTATATAATATTTAACATTTAAAGATCATTTTAAATTATTAATTAAGTAAGTAATATTATAAATTTGTTACACATACTCTTGTAAATATTTCTAAGTTGATAATTAATTCAGCTGTTAGTTTCATGTTCGATTTGTGGGCATCATGCATTCTCATTGCCAATAAAAGTAACTTTTTAAATTGTATTTCCATTTTTGTCCAGTTACTAGAGTAGAGTGCAAAGTTCATTTCGGATTTCTAGGTAAAAAAATATAAAAATGAGAAAATCATTAAAAAACTTATGATGAACAGTTCATGTCACTTGATGTCATTGTAATATTTTTATTATATTTTAAACTAAATACATATTGTATTGTAAAATATTATGTAATTTGTTAATACTTCTTGTGTATATTATGTATAAAAAAATTTTTATTTAAAAAATTAAACCAGAAAATTATACCAATTCCTTAAATGTTAAAAACAACAGCTTTTAATTAACTATGAAAAAAAAACTTTTAGTTGTTTTAGTAACAATTATTTTATAAATATATTGATAAATAGGAACAAGTTCAGGATTTTTTTAAAGACAAAAGTAAATACAATATTTTACTTGTCTAATTAATTATATTATATTAATTATGGTACTTATATAACCAACTATTAACTGTAAATAAATTACCTGTTTATCAACATCTCCAAATACGAGACAAGTATAATATATTTGATAGAAAAATATAGGAAAAGAACACATTTTTAGCGATTGCGTTGATGTTAGTAACGTACCATTAAAATAAATCTAAAAAAAATTATTAATAATAAAAGTGTAAGTTGTATAAATACATTCATTTATATGGGTATCATCAAATTACCTGAGTTATAACAAATGAACCAAATGAGATTGTAAATGAAGCTATGATTAGTTGAGGAAGAATAACTGGGCGAACAATTTTATAAAAATCATTCATTTTCCTATTAATAAATAGTAAGAAAATTATTATATCATAATTGTTGTTACATAAGATCTAGTAGTTTATTTGAATATAAAATTAAAAAATTGAAATTTCAATTATATTAGTTATATAGAATAAATTTGCCATAAGCCCACACTTACACTTTATCCTTACAGTAAACACAAATAATAGCTAATTATTTATAGACATATCATAATGAATATAATATATCTGTAAATATAATTTATAGTCATCAGTAATTTTTATTGAGTGTATTATAATTTATAACATCACTCGGGAATATCTACATATAATAATAACCATTTAAATTTCAAACAATGGAATATCGCTTAAAAATATATTTATATATAAAATATATTACCCCAATACTTCTTGATGGTGCTTAATTATCAATTTCAAATTGTTTAAACATTCGTTTTTTGTAGTATCTGATTCAATTGCACCTGAAGTAAAACATTCACTTAAGTTTTTCTGATAATCTAAAAATATACATTTATATTTTTTTTATATATATACGATAATAGGCATTAGCATAAAATTATATTTTATGTAGATATATGCATTTTAAAACTAATTGAAATGATAAAAGACGTAAATGAAAAAAATAAATTCAATTAATTATTGTTATAGTTTTTGTATTAATTGATTTCAGAAATAAAAAAAACATATTACTGCGTGCACTACGAATTTTAATATGTTAATTTGAATTCTGCATTTTTAGATTTACCTACAGGAAAACTTCTACCAACTAATATAGGCAGTTTAGAGCATATATAGAAATATAGTATAATATACTTGCCATCGAAATATGGTTTTGATATCGTACGACAATTGTGTCCCAATTTACTATAAGCAGCAGCAATATATCTCATCTGATACGTTATTGCGTTGCACAATATGACCATGAAAGTGTCGAAGAGTATCATGAAAAGTACGAAACACAGCCCGACCATCCATTCGAGCAGGTGGAAGATGAGATGCCATTCGTTGTACATTTCGCTAGATACCATAAAATACATGTTGTACGGGTTAAAGTGGTAGATGCTGATCGAATTGTCGCGGTTCTTTATTTCAACCGATGAGCCGACGACAAAAGGCAACAGAGTCCACATCAACAACACGAAATGACTGCAAACGGCGAACCAACCTGTAAATTTCATCGACACGTTGCGGCACGTTTGAAAGAAACGGGTCGAATCGGGATCCGCGCGGGCGCTGGATACGAAATCGAAGCGCGTGATGTCCAGACACCGTCGAATGTCATCAGAGTGGCGGACGATTGTAAAAGCTTTGAAGCACCCAAACAAAAAGTTTATGAGTGCGATAAATTGAAGGACGAACTGCGTCACATCGTTTGCCCAGTAGTAAAGACCGAACGGGCACATCAACAAACAAATCGCAGTAAACGTGATCATGACCATTACTGTTATGTGAAAAACGTTATGACCTCTGATCTTGGCGCTCTTCGGATCGATGATGTAGTATAAGCCAGTGCATTTGATCATTGCCGAGCTCATGGTACAGTTCCCGTCTTTAAATAAATTTAGCATTTTACACGACGATATTATTACCTTACGTACAGCTCTGTTGAGAAAATTAAACATAGTCAAACATAAATCACCATATTTTTTTTCTTCAAAATTGTATAGTTTACAGCATACATATTTACAGCTCAAATCGGCGTAATTATCCGACTAGTGATAATAGTGACTGACAAGGGGAAAGGGTCAGCGTTTAACCTTCAAATTAATGTCGTGTGCATAATATCTAACAGTAAAGAAGTCATAAGAAACCCAACTTTAAGCATAGGTACTTGCTATAATTTATTGTGTGCCTCTTATCTTCTTGTATTTTCTATACTCAATTTTTAAATACATTTTATCATTTTATTATTTATACCTTTATATATATATATATGAATATTTTTCTAAATATTTTATGAAATAATAATATCATTATAAATTTGTCTTCAGCACCAATTAATACGAATTATTATATTAATATAACTTTATTACTAATAAAAAGATAATAATTAAAAAACATTTTTATATATTTTTTTTAAATTTTTTTGTCCACAATAAAATATGATCAGTACAATTTTATGTTAGTGCGTAATTTTTAAATATTTTGTATTTATTTTCAATATGTATTTTTTGAATTTAATTAATTAATACCAGTCGGTAATTAAAAAATTAAGTAATTTATAAATTTATCAGTTATTAAAAAAAAAAATAAACAAGAGTGCACACTATGTGCATCAGCTCTCTGGTTTATATATATATATATATATATATATATAGATATATAATAGTAAATAATAAAAAAAAAAAAATAGAATAAAATAACATTTTTACATTGTAGGTACAACGATAAGCTAATTGTGAAATGTGGCTAATTGAACTGAGGTAATAATAAAAAGTGTTCGGTTGGTAATATAGTACATGAAAATAATAAAATTTTATTATTAAGTTATAGGTGGTATTTATGAGATGAAGCATGCTGTATATAGGATAGTTGTAGTTTTAGTTAGTACGGTTAGGTTAGATTAGGTTAGGTTATTTGGTGGGAAGGACATGGAATAAGAATAAGGAGTGATGTCTATAGACAAGAACATGAAAAGAGATAGATGAAAAGAGATCAGGGGTATCGACAGAACCATTTGGTGTAGAGGAGATACGTAATGAATATCAGTGCCAAGACTGCGAGAGGGAAGAGTAGGAACACTTAAGGATAAAGTTATAGAGGAAAAGTCATGACGTTATAAAGAGGGTGAGAAATATTAAAAATAAAAACAGCATAAAAAAGGAATCAGTTTTGAATTCGTTCAATAAGAAGATTTTACTAGGTTAAATAAGGTTGCTGGACAACTACACTACATCGTACTTTCAAATTGAGTGAACTAAAGAAAAGTAGAGGAAACAAAAACAGGAGATGGATGTTAAAAGTTTAGTATTACGTTCTATAAATCCTTGCACTTTTAGAACTCTATCAATAGTTGTGATGGAGTAAGATAAAACCCTAGATATTTAACGCCAAACACGCGCTTAAATGTAGAACTATTAAGAGAGTAGGAATGAATAAGTGGAACATGCTTTCTACAAAAGCTCATAAAATGGCATATATTAAGGTTAAAGGCTAGACTAACACGTTGAGTCCACTCACAAAAGGAATTAAGATCAGATTGAAATTGGATACAATACAAATAATGACAGTAGTGACTATAGGAATAAATATTATTGATATTGATACATACCTTGTGTGAATAAAATTACTGTTATTTTTTTCTTTTTACGCACATATAGTGTTGTAAAACACAAATTATTAAAATTAGACAATTTTTAATAAGAACTACTTCATCCAATATCTGTTCAATAGTAAAAAATATACGTTATGTTTTAAAAGAATGTATGGTTTAACTGAATACCTAATGAATTTATATAAATAAATCACATAGTAAAAATGTAGTAAAAATTTATGAAACTTTTCCATACTTTAATATTTGATTTCAATATATTAAAAAATATAGCGAAATTAGATAGCGTGGGTCAATGTCAAACAATTACATTTCATTAATATTGTATTATAAATATCATAATAAATTATAGTATACAATGACTAGAAACTTTTTAACCTATAAAATGTATATAAATCATATTAATTATTAACAGATTATTCTGCATTCATTATTTATATTTTTATTTCGTTAAAAATACACTAGCAAGTTTTGTTAAAACATTTTTTGGTTATAACTTATAAATTGTAAACACTATACTACCCTATTATGTGAATATAAAGTTGTCCATATTAACTTGCTTTATCTATATAAATAGGGACTTATAGTTTCAAAAATATAATATTATTTGATTTCAAAATGTTTGATTTAAGAAAAGTAATAAATAAACGTGGTATTCGATCATCTTAAAAATATCAATCAAAATAAAAAGTCACAAACCTTTAATATTATTATTATTTATTACATATAATAGCCATATCATAACATTAAACTTTTACGAGTATTTAATTTTACGAGTACCTATATAATATGTATAACAATTTAATATTTTTATAATTTTTTTATGGTTTTATTGATAACGAAGAATGCGATAGTATTTCTCAGAACCAGGAATGTTTTATGTTATAATAACGGTCTCTTGCAAAGAAACGTAATGATTGTTAACAATAAGTGAAGAATGTTCAACTACAAAATTTAACTTGGTTATTTGAAAATAACAATTGAAAAAAAAATGAATATCCCTCCAGATAAAAAAAAAATTAATAGCTTAATATATAAGTGAATTGATTAGAACATATTTTTTTCATGAAATAACATAAAACAATTATACGAAAACTGTGTATAAAACATATCGTAATTAATTATTAAAATTTACAAAAGATACACGTCTCAACTAACACTTACGTCTCTTATAATACTACTCGAAAGTAGACACTACTCTGTATATTAGATTAGTCAATAAGGTATATAATTATTTATATCCATACATTTACTGTTACGACTTAGACTATTATACGAAATATGATCTATTAGTTTAATAACTAAATAAACTATTTTTGGTGAGACGTTGAAGTCGTTTGTGTCACATATTAATTCTAAATAAGTAAATTTAGAAAATAATATAATATTTTTGAAATAAATTTACTGTAGTTATATAATAAATAAATATATTATATTGGTTATCTTCCATTTTTAACAATTAATCACATTATTTTCTATTTCAAAAATCGTGTAACACTAGATACAAAGGTAATAACTTGTAAATATTATTTAGACCAATTCATTGGTATTCTATATTATAATTTGGAATTAATAATAATTGAACCCTATTTCAATGCATTATTCCCTTATAAAAAATATAGTTTAATACAGTTTTAAAAGATTTTAAACTTACTTTATTCAACAAAAAAACAGCGTTAAATGCGATAACTTGGAACAATGAATTTTATAACTTTTTAATTTTTATAGTTATTTAACTAATTGTTGTGTCAAACATTTATTCTACGTTAAAAAAATATGTATCTTTTGTTTATAGTTTTTAAGTTTTATTATCAAATACTTTTTTAGTGTTTTATATTTCTCATGAGTTGTGTGCAGAATCTTAGAAATATTATATTGCAAATATAAACCATACCCCAATTAAAAAAACTTCAAATTGAAATAAACTATAAACTAAGCGATTGCGCTCAATACTAATATAGGTATTGTACAAACCTAACAATTTAAAAAAAAAAATTGCATGATAGTTAAACTGCAATAATAATAATAACATTATATTATAATTATCTACACTGTGAGAAAAATCCAAATATATATTAACTATTGTGTTGACGATGAAACACACAAATAAACCATTATAAAATATAAGTCATCACACATCAACAAACGGCTGAAACATTGTCATTAGGTATATAGGTATGGATCTCAAATTACAGTGAAGATTTTGACAATAATATAATACAATAGTTGAGTTGGTGTACGTATAACTGATGCAACGATCGCTGCTAGTGGCTGCACGAGCACAGAAACAGCTGCCAATATACATTTAACTGTGGAAAACCGCAAAATTACGTCGTTTGTCCCAATGTGTCGACCGTAGAAAATGTTAATTGAAAAAAAAAAACACAACACTGAAAGGCTATATGGTTTCTTGACGTTAACGAGATTGAATATACACTCATTCACTCACACACACACACACACACATACACACACACACACACACACACACACACACACACAAATATATAGACACTGCAGAAGAAATTGCAATGGTAAATAATGCATAACAGGAATTTTTAATTTTTTAACTATGACACAGTCACCAGACCAACGCTGATTGCAATTTTATTTAACATGTATACATTACTCTCTGTAAGTATAATAATGTTAATAACAGTATAATATACTCAATTGGGGTGTAATGAAACAAGACCTAACCACGTTCTAAACGAGTAATTTAACTGTAAATACGATGGTGAATAACAATGAATTTATTATGTGCACGTCCTGTCTCCAATGCAAATAATTATTCACCGAAGTATAAATACTTGATTCTGTACATTAAACGTATCATGGTATTCTATTTTGTTAATAATATTGCAATAAATAGTATAAACACTTCATGGATATCTGCTCATAGACTGCAGCAAACAGAGAAACGCAATATTCGGTATAAATTCACTATGTAATAAATATACTAGAATAAGTAATATACCTACTAGTATATGTAAGTATATGTTGTAAGTGTATGTTTTATATGTACAAGATACAACAAAAACTAATAAATAAAATTTAGTCAGCCAGAATCTTAAATTAATTTTAACATCTACTACATGTTAAAAGTTGTATATTTTGATGACTAATAATATATTTTTAACGTCTAACCTTTAGTAATATTTTATCCGTTTAGACGAAAATAAATATTATAATAATATAAAAATCAATGGCAATAATGAGGTTTTTAAACTTTTATTTATAGTTGGTATAAACCAACTAAAATCA